CACCAGCCATATATGTGTTGGTTCATATGATGGATTAGTATCGTATACCTTTTCAGTATGGCAACAGAGATATCGATGAATAAAAAATTTGAGTTTACTTTGCAAATGTTTAGCCTTCATACTGTCGAGGAGCAGAGGTTTGCATACTCAGATGAAAAGAATATATAAGACGAATCTATTTACTATGAATGCGTTGTTACCATGATGCAGGGCGGGGAGATCTGGGTTAGAATGGAGTCTTCAACATGGGAAGGAGTTCACTGACTTGGTTGACACATGTCATCAGATCCCAATTCGACTATCAATGCTCACATTATTTTACAGTCACTGGATTTATCTGGCCGATTATTTACAGGATTTCAAAAATTACTTTTGTGTGTTTACATGTGTACAGCTCTACAGTCAGGCAATGTAAGTATTTCTGAAATTAGTGTATTATATCCTGTATGAATTACATTGCAGGGGTGACCTAGTTCAGATAAATACTGTCCCAGGACAGATTGCCAAAAGGAAGCTGAACAAAATTGCAAAGACTTGAAAAGTAGAGATTTGTTTATATGAAGCTGAAGATCAGTTCAATAATATATTGCAGTGTTTCATTATAGGATGTATGTATACATGTATATTTGGGGGAAATGTGGTATTAAACTTTGTTGCCAATATCATAAAAAATCAGATCTTTTATTTCATTATGAAAATCTAACAAAACCACATATGAGTCTATTTCAGGTAAACTGTAAATAAATTCTTACTATTATACAGTGTTAGAGACATTTGCTGCATATATTTGAAGGTTTTATCTCCAAGAAAAATGCAAAATCTTCAAAATATTCAGATGTCAAATGCCCGGGTTATATAACATCCACAACAATATAATAGCGAAGCCAGTAATATAATATCCACTTGAAACTGGATGTTTATATTGATTGTTTATGTAGAGGATTTTTAATATATTTTTTATCCTCCTGGCATGTAATGCGGGGGATGTAGTCGACGCATCATCCGTCTGTCCGTCCTTAATCATTTTGTTTCCAGAGCATAACTCAAAAACCGTTCAATATTTTTCAACAAAAATTGGTAGATATATCAAACAGAACCTAAGGTGGTGCCTTTTGCTATTTAAAGATTTTTGGCATTTGTATTTTTCCCGGTTTCCATGGAAACGATTCGGACTTAGTCTTAAAGGGAGGGGTGGGCTTTGTTTCCGGAGCACAACTCGAAAACTTCTTAATATCTTTCTTCAAGACTTGGTAGATATATCAAACAGAACCTAAAGTGGTGCCTTTTGCTATTTACAGATTTTTGTCATTTTTATTTTTCTTTCAAAAGGGAGGGGTGGGCTTTGTTTCCTGAGCACAACTCAAAAACTTCTAAATATCTTTCAGCAAAATTTGGCAGATATGTGAGGCAGATCCCAAAGTGGTGCCTTTTGCTATTTCCAGATATTTGTCGTTTGTATTTTTATTGGTTTCCATGGAAATGTTTCGGACTTAGTCTCAAAAGGGTGGGATGAGCTTCTTTTCTGGAGCACAACTCGGAAACCTTTCCATATCTTTCAGCAAAACTTGGCAGATATGTGAGGCAGATCCCAAAGTGGTGCTTTTTGCTATTTGCAGATTTGGGGCATTTTTATTTTTCTCTGTGTCCATGGAAGCGATTAGGACTTAGTCTCAAAGGGAGGGTGGGTTTAGTTCGGATCACAACTTCGTAAACTGTTCAATATCTTTCTACAAGACTTGACAGATATATCAAACAGATCTTGAAGTATTGCCTTTTGCTATTTACAGATTTTTGGCATTTTTATTTTTCATGATATCCATGGAAACAATTTGGACCTAGTCCAAAAAATCAAGTTGGACTTCAAGTAATTGTCAGTTGATTTGTTCTTTCAAATATATGGGGGCCGGGGATATTTGTCATCTTCTGATAACTCTTGTTTCACATTACTGTTTCTCCTATAAAAAAATATATACATCAAAATGAACACCTGAAACTACTCCAAATCTTACATGTATATATATATCAAGCTGTGTGGTAAATGTTTTCCATTGCTATTTGAACCAAAATTCACAGCCTAGTAACTACTTTTTGGCACATTAATTCACTGTGAAAAATTATTCATTGGATTATTTTTTTTAAATTACTTGAACTTGTTTGTACTTTGTAGAATAATTGAAACTTTAAGAATGGTAACAACAACAATTCTGTGTCATTTGATTATGTATATCTCAGGTATAATTTCACTGATATTTAGTTTTCACATGCAATGACCTAAAAGTCACTTGTCTGATTTTGCAAACTTATGTCATTAGGTTATGATATACGTCATTTAAACTCATTTTGTCATAAGTTTAGTTAAATGATAACTGTGAATAAACAATAGAACCTTAACACTGTTTGGTTGATTAGAAAGCTCACCAGATGTGACCTCCTATGATTACCGGTACTTTAAATGTTCATGAAGGATGGTATCATTGATTATTGATGTTTTTTACACTGAAACAGGATGAAACGTTGGTGATTGAGGATATTTGCCAAACTTTGAATGCAGGGATGTTCAAAACTAGTATAAACAGGATATGCCAGAATATGTTATTTTAAGATAAGATAATTCTTTATTGCCTGTGTCGTGAGGGAATTTGTCTTCCATGTGAGTGAGCATAAATACATGTATCTCAAATAAATACATAAAAACATGATCATAATTACATACAAATACAAAGCATTGTTCTCATAGCAAGTTGATTGTTGGGACTGTTACTTTAGTCCTAATAATCCATAATTGAGAGAGTCCGGATTATAAAGCAAGCTTTAATGATAAATTAAGTACAATTTTTCCGTGACTCAGAGTAGTCCGGATTATGGAGAAAACTGGATTACACAGAGTCCGGATTAGACAGATTCCACTGTATACAAAAGCATGAGAACGGAGAACATTAACAAAGAAATTGATAATGGTACAAAGACATTTTATAATGCTTTGATTTGCATGTCAGTACATTATATTAGATTGACATATCATTAAACCTATATTTGTGTTTCAGTGAAATGGACAACAAACTCAAGACTTTAGTATCAGAGTATGATGAACTAAATGAAGCATCCAAGATCCACCTGGAAACAAAGCGGAGGAAGTTGGAAGATGAAAAAGTAGAATTTGACTCAGAATTGGAAGAACAGAGCTCCATATTGAATGAGAGAGAAAAGAGAGCTGGATTTATTACAGAAAGATTATGAGCATGCCAAAGGAGGCATTGAAGCAATGTTGTTGGGAGACAGGTGGGTGTATGTGTGTGAGCTTTTTTTTGATTGATGAATACCACATATTACGGGATAGGAGATTAATTTTCACGAGCATACTCAAAGGTATCAAATTTGGTCATCCATTACCCAAATTCAATGTTCTTTGAAAGTGTGTTGCAGATAGAAATATGCAGCAGAAAATTTGAACAGATGTACTTGCCTGTATATACAATGTTTATAGATGTATTGAAAGAGTGGTCGAGTACAAACCTTTGATAAAACTTCCTATCTAAACTTTTCAGAGACATTTTTGTGAAAAGATAATGCATAGACTTTGAGAGAAAGTGTCAAAATGAAAACATGATCTATTGTAGCACTCACTCATGCTAAGTGTTGATCAATATCAAATATATGAATTCTCAGATGAGCCTTAATGTTTATAAGAAATTTGATTCTAAGTTCCATTTACAAAACATCATTGATGATGTCGCTATTGTGTGCAACAACATTTAAGTTATGTGGAATAATGCAATTCTGTTATTACAAATACCCTGGACCTAATAACTACCACCGTCTCATTTTGACTTCTTTGAGAGGCATTTAAAAGTTGGAACAGTAAGGAAGGATAACAATATGGATGAACAACTTCTTTATTGCTGTGAGAGTGATGTTTCGGTACAGGTTCTAACACCGTTATCGAGCAAGTGATAAGATACAAGACACTTGCTTGATACTGGTGTTAGAACCTACAGCGAAACGTCGCTCTCACAGCAATAAAGTGTTCATCCATATTATTATCCTTCCCATCTCGATTGAGTCTGATTCAAATGTCACAACACTAAGCTTTTTCAGTATAATTCATACACAAATTAGACATTAGGGGAATTCAGACGGAAGTTCAGATAAAAAGGTGAATGCAAGTTATCACATCAAGACAAAGTTATCACACAGAATGGACCCAGGGTATTTAGACGGAGATGTGATCCACTGGATAATCAAGGAGGTTCAGTTGTATGAACCTACAAAGTAAATATTGCTTGGCAGAATGTGCTAGAATATGTCATATACTAGATGTCATGAGATTGTTTTTGTGTACAGGGCAACACTAGACTTGAATTTGAGGCATGTTCATCTGGAGAAGAAAAACCTTCATGATGTTCATTCCCATAAAGAGTCGAGAGAGAAGGATCGAGATCTCCATAACCTCAAGAAGGCTGAGTTACAACTCCATTGGCTGATGAATCACTCAACCACACAAAGTCTATCCATGAAAAGATCAAATCACAGGTAACAGACTTAATGTAGTAATCATAGTCAATAATGTTTGATTATTCATACCACGGAGGCTTACAGAAGCACGAAAACAGAGTGTTGATTGCTTGTAAATGGGGAAAATTCTTTCAAATTGTCATCAGCTTCAGAAAAACTGTTGCAATTTTGTGACAGTAGTACCAGTACATTGCTACATATAACATGGGGTTTTATACATAAGAGTGAAGGGCTGTCATTGTGAAAATGTCTGTTTCAGGTTGATGGACTGCCTGAGATGATGGCTCTCTGGTGAAGAGAGAAGATCTTCAGAAGGAGGTGGAACAAACCAAGAGGGCTCTTGCTCAGCAGGTCAGTGGGCAGATGTGGCAGATTTATGTGTTCATCTTTGATACAGGTGACAACACGGCTACAGGTGTGATTTGGTTTTTATTGATGACTGAATAAGTGTGCTTATAGTTGTATGTATCTTTCTTCTTTTTAAACCCTCAAATACACTGTAGTACCATTGAATAAGATAATGAATAAAACCAGAGCATGATAATTCATTTGACATGCAAATCAAATATGTATAACACATACATCATATACTTTATAATATGAAGAAGGTAAATATAGTATCATTGCATGTTAAATATAATACTGGCATTACTACACAATGCTGTCAATTTAGATAGAACAACATGAATTACAGTTGTCAAGATATAAAGATGTGAAATCGGTAATCAATAGATAATTGTTTATATATTTACTTAATAATGTGCCAACATACTAGAAGTATGGCCTCTAGGTGAAGGTCACATTATTGTCCTCCTGTATATTCTGTACTTTACTAAGAAAGTGAAATCTCAAATATAACATATGTTATTTTAAGCACATATTGACAGATCTGGCATAGCACTAAAGAATATACCAAACATCCTAATATACTCTCTCTCTTTCTCTCTTCTCTCCTCTCTCTCTCTCTCTCTCTCTCTCACACACACACACACACATGATGAAAGCTTCATAAACATATTCAAATAATTATCTGTCTCGGAGATTCTGCAATTTACTAAATCTCTCACATATCTAACAAATTACCTTATTGAACATACATAATATATATTTAATTAGACAAACGTACCTTGGCAGTAAAAGAAGTATTTCAAATGTGCCACTTGCTGTCACCGACTTGTCTGTGCTGTGACTGAGGTGCAAGTGAGGGTTAAAAAGCATGCAAAGCTAAGAACAACAGTAGGGTCAGTCACTCAACCAGAACAATTGACCTGGTTAAAACAAAGGAACTGATAGGGTAGTGACTGACCCAAGCACAACAAAGTTAAAATCTTTAGAGTGTAGTATCACCTCTTGATACAAATCCTTCAAACCCATAATGTAAATTAATACCAATTGCTGATATTAATACCAATACTACTACTAATAATACTATATACTCACATACACTATATACTAATAATTTATTGAAGTACTAATATTAATACTGACACTAATAACTAAGGCTAATATTAAAACTAATACTAATTACACTGTATAGTTTATGGTTTAAGTGACAGTCACACAAATATATGTGAATAAACACATGACAAATGAAGAGTCTCACTGAAATGTACCTTCCTACAATATTAAAGAAACGTTGGTACATTTTGTAGGTTTATGGTGATAAAAAGCAAAGAGCATTGTTTAATGAACTTGCATATTCTAAGGACTTTTTTTTAAAGAGATTTTCTATGTTTATCCACCGCAACGCGTTTTGCGGAGTATTAAAATGGACTCCATCCGTTCGTCCGTCCATGCACATTCATCTTTTCCGGAGCAGAACTTTAAAACCGTTATATATTTCTGGTGCTTTTGGTAGTTTTGGATTTCTGAATAAATATTTTTTGTGTTTCCATGGCAACAAATTTGACTTCTACTGAAATTGGTGGTAGTGTTCTTTTCCAGAGCAGAACTTTAAAACCGTTCACTATTTCTGCTCCAAACTTGGCACATAGATAGGTCTGGTGGTTTACTGGTGGTGTACTGGTGCCTGTTGGTAGTTTTGGAATTCTGAATAAAATATTTTTGCATTTCCATGGCAACAAGTTTGACTTTGACTGAATTTGGTGGTAGTGATCTTTTCCAGAGCAGAACTTTAAAACCGTTCACTATTTCTGCACCAAACTTGGCACATAGATAGGTCTGGTGGTGTACTGGTGCCTTTTGGTAGTTTTGGAATTCTGAATAAAAATATATTTTTTGCATTTCCTTGACAAGTTTGACTTTAACTGAATTTGGTGGTAGTGCTCCTTTCTGGAGCAGAACTTATAAACCGTTCAATACTCTCCTTCCACTTTGCTATATACATGCCAAAACATTTGACATAATCATAACTAGTAGACATATTCATGAAGATTATTTTGCCATTGTCGGGATATTGATGACTTTGTCTTCTTGTTTGTTTCTTTGTCTTGATTGGAGAATGTTTATGATTAGATAACTTTGTGAAGGGTTAGTTATATTTCAGATAGTTTAGTTCAATTTTGCAAGCATATTTTTTTCAAGTCAAGAATTCCGTAAAATACCTATACAAGAATGGGACCTGGAACAGTGGCCTTGTGTGTCCTTAAAATTTGTCTCTTTTTGTGTTGTGGTTGTACAATTACTGTTAAGCTTCAACAATCCATTGACTACCCTGATGTGTTTGTTTACAGAACTCCCTGACTGCTGTGGAGCATGTGAAGCTTGAGGCTAGTGCAGCTGATGAGCAGAACTTGTTGTTTGAGCAGAGCGATCTGCGCATAGAAGTCGTGGAGCTTACCAGACTCGCTGCTATCAAGGTCAGTATATAGTAGTGATGGTTGTCTCTCTGAACATTTCCATGAATAGTCAGAGATCATTTGTGTGTCAAATGATCTAGCAAATATTTTCTTTCTGAAAAAAAAGTTAGTCTGAACCCTGTTTGTCTGTAAATCATGCTGATCTGAGGATCTTGTTGGAAATGTTTTTATTTACGATATATATTGGAAAATGTCCCTGCTCCAATCTTTTATTGAAACAGACAAGTTCACTTGGAATGTAGTATCTGGATGTTTTACAAACTCTGTGCTTGTTTACTAGGCTGATGAGAGAGAGCAGAAGGCACGAGACTTCATGAGGGCGGAAATGCGCTTCCATCGCGCTGTAGAGGACCTGAAAACAAAACAGCTGCAGATACAGGACCACCAGAAGAAGCATCAGGAGATGCAGCAGAAGTGAGTGAATACATTGTTGTCAAGGGTGGTCTAGGGGTCTTACATGCACAGTTGTGTCCCTTATACCAGCTAGGATCTGCTGACTGTTGCATTAAGCGGTATAATATTCCGTAAACTGTCAGCACCATACACCATGGGAAATGTCTGACATCCATAAATTCTCACCTTTATGGCTATGACTTCTTGGACTTCCACACAGTCATAGTGGAATCGTTCATTTCTAAGTTTGTTAAGTGTTTTAACTTTTGAAATGTTACTTCAGACTGAAGGAGTTTGCCAAGCTGTATGACGTCATCAAGAATGAGCGTAACAAGTGTGTGAACCTCATCCAGACCAGCACCCAGAAGGCAGCTGAGATGAAAGAGAAGATCAAGATCTTACAGAATGAGATCGAGATCCTCCGTACAGCAGTCATGCAGAAGGACAGGTAAGAGCAGAACAATGGTCGATGACAGACATCAGTTCATCAGACACCAATTTTCATTTGTTTTCCCTGGGTTGTATTATTAACAAGAGGAAATTTTATTTATAATGTCCCTTATAGTTGGTACGACACAGATATGTTACACTTCTTAATGAAACCTTTGCTTTCACTAGACAACTTCAGAAGCATCGCCTGAAGCACCGCGCAAGCCTTGAACTACGTGACAGCATGCGGAAGGAGGTTGCTAAGCAACAGCGTGTAGAGGAGGCAATGAGAGAGAAGCAAGAGCAACAGAAGATGGACATCTCCAAACTGAACCTGATGATCAACCAGGCCGAGGAGCAGATGGTGCGACTCAGGAAGAGATATGAGAGAGCAGTGCAGCATCGTAACGACAGGTGGGGAGGGAGTTGTTTCACCACATTCACCAGTGTCACTGTTGAATTCAATTTCAAAACCCTGGACAACCCAATTAAAATTATTTTGACCAAGGTTTTACCCATGTCAACTTTGCCTGACCAGTGATAGCTCATGAATGTTAACTGATTTGTTGAACCTTGGTAGATAAGACCTGCTGTTGGTAGGTTTATGAATGTGACACATCACCATAGCAACCGACATGCCTTCTCTACTTTTTCAGAGGCATTAAGTTGATTGAAAGGAATGAAGAAGTGTGCATCTTCTATGAGAAGGTTAACATCCAAGGTGAGTACCATTTACTGTACCTTATGTTTGTAGTTTTTTACCTCCATGGGGACTCTCAATACTTCCCTTTGTTGGGGTCAGAAGAATCTGAGATGATCAGTTGATCTGGTTTTGAGTTTAGCTAGTGTGCATTATGTTTGGGTAAATGCTGTAGGTAAGAAAATACATTATCTATCATAAGCAGACCCCCTGAACCCCACCTTTGCTCCGCCAATGCAAAACATTAACTTCAATGTGGTCTTAAGTCATTTTCAAAAGGGGGGGGGTCGAACCCCCTGAACACACACACACACACACACCCCTGGATCCGCCACTGTCTATTGCTTCAAGACACAAATGTCTGTGCATCAAGGGGGATAATTAATTCAACTCAGCATTCTAAAAGCCATATTTGGTTCCTTGTCTCCAGATCAGATGGTTCGTAATGGAGAGGTGGAGCTGAAGGCAAGAGAGGAAGAGATCAGGTTCCTCAAGATGCAGCTGAATGAGGAGAAAAGAGGTCGTGAGGTCATGAGGAAAATGGAACCAAATAAGCGTGCATTTGAGCAGGAACTGGTCACACTGCAGATCCAGGTGAGGAAACCTTCTACAAAATGTTAGATCTAATTGAACTGTTATTTTTCAATAGTTCTTGAAACATACTTTGTAAGATGTGTTTTATGTATCTACCGGTATATAATGTAAGTTCTACCTACTGTTAGGGTACTGGGTGCTGTTGTACAAGCGAACTTAGTGCTTAAGTGATTTTAACTCCCATACTTCAACATGGACTTCAGGACAGTCATAGCCCTTAGGTTGTATTATACAACAGCCCTGGTCATTTATAATAGGGAAAGGGGATGAGAGATGAGTGGGGGGATGGGGACACAGTGGGGAGGGATGGGGAGGGAGGAGTGTCACCCAAATGTATCCTAACTATAAACGGGAAGGGTGTGTGTGACAAAAGGACACAGTTCTATGTGTCCAGGACATGCTATTATGACAGTGATGATGTAGAGAGAGTGATGTCTCATGTTACAGCTGCAGCAGTGTCAGGACCGGATGTTGGAGCTGGAGAAGGACCTGGAAAATCCGTATGACGAGACCCGAGTCCGATACCTGGAGGGTCATGATCCAACCCCGGCAGAGATACAGACTAAGGTAGAGGAGGTAAGTGTGGCAGGCAGTCCAAATTATGGACAGCTCATGGAATAGTTTCAGTGAATAATTTCAAGGCTTCACAAGGTTTTGTAAAATGAAATTATTATGGAGAACGTATTGAAATTGGTGTTATTATTGTTGTCCGTCAAGAGATGGGAAGTTTTAGAAATGGGTTTTGGGAAAGGCCATGTTGCTGTTAATTTTACACACATTTAGATACAGACACATGACTGGATGGGGAGATTGAAACGCATGCAATCTAGAATGTTGCATCTGCCTAAACTGGGAAGGAGATCAGTGTTCTAATGGGGTTTTGTTTTTGCTTTTCTTAAATAAAATCTTGGAAAAGCCATGTATCTTTATTATGATTCTCAGACAACTGATTCCCAGGAATGATGCATGTGTTCTACTGATATGGCATGGATGGATCCAACATGGGGATGTGGGGGAACATTCCAAACTATAACATAGTTGGATATCAAGTGCATCACTAGTTTGAAAATCCTGCCTCTGCCTCTGAAGACATGTCATCATTCTGTGTTCCCCAGTTTAGGGGCGTATAGGTTCTAATGTTACATCCTATCTTCATATTTTCAGCTTGAGATGAGATTAGCTGAGAAAGAAGAACAGCTTCTGGAAAAAGACTTGATCTTTGAACAGGTCAACCGACTAGCAGACCGCATCCGAGGGAAAGCTGAGGTCGGGAAACAGGACACTCTAGATCTAGCCAAGAAGGTTGGTGTTATTTCATTCCTTGTTATTCCATGAAAATTTAAGGAACTAAATGGTCTTGGAAGAAAGTCGGTTGTTGTTGACATTATCGACCACTTGTTAAGTTTGTGTTATTACTGACTGCAGTGTTCAGCAGCATTCATTGTGTGTCCTCTGTACAGGTTAATGATGTGCAAGCCAGGATCAAGGAAACAACTCGGAAAATGATGGCACTGGTGTCAGAGCTGTCCATGAACCAGGCCAATGCCATGAAGCTACAGCAGCAGCTGCGTGGCCAGGAGACAGAGCTGGAGCAATGCTACATGAGGATGGAGAAGGGAGAACCACCGTCCGAGATAATAGAGAGAGATTGGCTGCGAATGGTCAGAGATGAGATGAGGAGGATACAGGACAAGGATGATATCAGAGCTGTGAGTGGCTATTGGGGGCATTGGGCACTGGAATATATTATGTCATTGAACTGTACTATTGTATATGCAATATTAAGTCTGTAAACTAAACATCATAGATTTTGTGATCTTGGGTGTATTGACAATCGAGTGATATTCTGTTATGGGTGCTTAACATAGAGATGTTTTATTAAGGTTTCAGTTCAATACATGGCGACATCAGTGATGTTAAGTGTAATTGATCTATCAAACATAAATTCATTCCTTAATTTTGCATTGGAAAGGATCATTGAGAGATGTGATAAGAATTGTAACCATAGTGCCTATTTGGAGTTATGCCCCTTCTATGTCCTTCCTACTGATCAGTCAGATTCCACCTCTTTTGTCGCATGCATTTGCTTCAAATGAATTCGGGGATACCAAGTCAAGACATCTGCTCAATAATAAATAATCTCCCAACTAATTGTAGACATGTTCTACAAATTCTGAATTGAACTAAATATGCACTGCAGTCACTTTGTTGAATGAGGACAATATTTTATGGATATACAACGTCTTTATTCTGTATATATGCGAAGTTTCGACATAGATTCTAATCTCGTTGTCAAGCAAGTGGTACATGAGAAGTAAGTTTGGGTGATATATACAGAATGCCAATCAAGGAAGTCACTTTGTTGTTTATGAACCAGATGTTGATTTCATAGCACTAGTATAATTAAACTATGCACTGACCTCCTCAAGCCAGCCAAAATATAACTTAGTAATTCCAGCCTAGTTTGGTAAGGGTGGAACAGAAGTTCTCAGTCCCTTGCTTCAGAAAGATGGACAACAAATGTGTTACTGGTAACCTATTTTAACCCTCAACAAAAACATTGCTATCTCAGTTGGTCTAGATGATTTCCAGGGTGCTGTACAAAGGGATCTCAACACTAAAGTGATCGTAACTTCCATTACTTAGCATCGACTTACGACAACCTTAGCACTGATGTTGTTTTGTACACCAGCACCCAGGCTGGCATGACACATCTTTAATAATGCTGACTGTCATGTAATCAAACCCCAACCAGACAGTCTTCAAGATACTGATTCTGATTGTTGTGAGAAATAAACACTAAACCATCATCTTTTGTGTGTTCTCAGGCAGAAGAAGAGGAGGAACAGTACAAGCTGGCTGGGGGATTGTACACAACTGCCGAACCTCGACCCAACGCCTACATTCCTGATGATGATAGCGAACTGCCAATACCACGGCCATATGGCTCTCATGCTCCATTCAAACCAAATGAAGCTGGCTCAACTATGCGACATATCAGAAAACCTGTGCCTAAACCCATTGAAATCTAAGCCTTCTTACTTTCTCGAATCGTGTGCATGGAGGAATGTATGGTGCTGGAAATATGTGCAGCTAATGTGAAGTCGAGGGTTGCATTTTATAGCTTTAAAGTATTATCAAGTACAAGTATTTGGTAAGCAATGAATCAATGTTATGATCTGATTTTGTAATGAGACAGTTGATAAATTATCAGTTTAAGCAAAATCAGTTTCACATATCTTTTAAAAGAAAATATCTGACACATTTTTATGAACCTACCATGAAGTCAGAAAAATTAACCTACCATGAAGTCATGGAAGTGAGGAATTTTTAAACCAGCCACAAAAATCAGGACTGTATATATATCTTAACATTGGATAGCAGGACATGTTGCAAGTGATATACTCTCAACGACTCATATAACAGAACTGTTTGTCCACATCTGACATAATATATTACAGTATGTCACTTCCCTTGCAAAGTTTTGCAGTTATATATTTTAATAATATCTGGTTCAGTAGAAACAACTGTATGCTTGAGTTTCTGTACATACATAGAATACTTGTTTCACCTCACTGCGATATAACACTGAAGTCTCTTCACACATACCACAAAATCAGTCCTAACTCTTAAGAGCCAAGAATCTAGGTCAAATTGTCTTACTTTGACCATTTGATGCCAAAATATTGACGAGTGTGCTTGTTTTGTACTATTTGTAAAAGGCACTTTGATATGAGGACTAACTCTATCGACGTTTGACACAATCCAACCACTAAAAATTAAATGTTTTATCACATATACTGGGTAACTGAAAAGATTTCATATTTTTATTGTTGCTTGAGGAAATATAAATTTGACATGAAGTAGTTGTTGTGTGATGTGACCCCACACTTTGTTTTCAAATTCATTACAGACTTCAGCCAGGGTTCCTCTTAAAGAAACATTCACAAGCCAAAATAACATACACTGTCCTCCACTTCCCATGCCATATTTGCCCAAGATCAATGTTTATTGATACACGTTAATAGCTTGAAGAAAATTATTTTTGTCCCTGTTATAATACATTCCTTATCTTCACACAGTATTAAGCATTCATACATGCCTGTCTGGACTTGTATATTTACACACCTAGTAGTGAAATGTACAACTGTCATCAATGTCATGTGTATTTCAGCCTTCCCTCTGTGCATGTGCCTATAACCTGTCAGCATTTCCCATGTCATTGCCTTCCCTTCAATACCAAAACAGTTTATTTATCTGTTGTACATGTCTGTGATTGTATTATTATTAATTTATTTTGGAAACAAAGCAAATCAGTATTGACACCGACATATTTTTATTTATCTATTTTGCTGAAGCAAAATTATCAGAGTGTTGTTGAGAAGTTGAATTACTTTGGATTGTATTTAAACACAAAGCTTCATGATGTCACTTGATAATGATTGTGATATTACAGTATGAAGTATTTTTTTCCTCTTGCTGTGTACATCTCTTTTACTGCCACAACAAGTCTATTAAAAACAAAAATGTCAGAAGAAAACAAATGGTAGGTATGTCCACTGCGGAAGTCATTGATACATACTGGTAATGTTTAAAAATATGGTAAGTGTCCGGAACATCTGATTTAAATATTAATTGATGTTACTATTGTAAATAAATACTGTGGAATATGTAAGTGTGTCTGTGTGTTTTCTCCTCTGAAAGTGAATGAGTGTTGGGTTTAACCCTGCTTTAAACAGTATTTCAAATACTTCAGGAAGGAATGGCAAAACACATTGAAGTTTTGTCCAGCCCATGAGCAGGAGTATGATGCTGACAGACCAATGACACACCTGAATAAGAAGATTTAGATGTGGATTCAGAGATTATCCCAAATGGACACTCCTCCACTTCAACACTGCTAGTTTCTATGAATTTGCTACTTCGGTTTTGTACTTCCATATAGAAAGTCTACACCAGTTAACCAATATTAACCATTCATCGCGGCGCTATATGAATAGATAAGAAGGAGACCTGTTTGTATTTAATACAGCGGCTGTCTGGATTATCCGTGTTAAACTGCAGCAAGTTGGGTGTATCTCGGAGGACAAGGAATATACAACAGTCATTAGTCCCGACTTGTACAAGCTGCTACACACATGCATGGATGTGGTTATATAAGTGTTATAATCTTAAAAACGATATTAAACATTTTATACGCTACCTGCAAAACAAACATTCACATCAACGTTCCCTAAATTCCCCAATGCACCGAACTTGTTGATAATGTGGTTGTTAGCATGGCTTAACATCGTTTCGGGTAATAAAAATTATCAGCCTTTTATGAAGGCACCGCATAACAGCATCATGTATATAGCAGCTTCATATACACCGAAAACAGAGTTCAAGAATATCTAGCGGCCCTTCACAGCTTCAGCTGATGAAGAGTATCAACAGGCATCAGTGAGGACCAGATGAAGGCTCACAAACATGCTCTGTTAACCTTCAGATACGGAAGAGAATCAACACACAATACTGGCCACAAAGGCTCAATCAAACAACCTTTACCTTCAGATAGACTATGTACTTATGTGGACGCATTCGTTTATGACGTCGTATCAATATGCGTCTCTGTTATAGTTCACTGCTACATCCCTTCCGCGTGTTCTATTTTTCGGAGAAGTGCGTCGCGTTTGCATCGTGTTTGTGGATTAAATCGATAAAACACTTACATTTTTGTATTTTACAATGTTAGGCATACAAGCCATATACACATGCGCGTTCATACTACGTTTTGTATAAAGAGTTTCCCCCAAATCACTGTATTGATAATGTATATGGAAAATAGTATCACAACGCCCCATATTTTTCATAGTGTCAATAGTACAGTATCATCATTAACCATAGTAAAGGAACTTATATCCAAACCTAAATGAACTTATATTATCCAAACCTAAATTTAACCTCAAGGAATATCTAAACGCAAAGGAACGAAAAATATTTTAAAAATCCACTCATTTTGTAGTGCTGATAACTATACATATAGGGAAGGCTCATGCAATGAACGGCACATGTGCCACTCAGAAGAGCCAGTGACCTGACACACATCGCAGTGTTATTGTTTAGACACCACTTCAGAAACAGCTGTGTTGCGGCGAGACTGTCCGTTATCTTATATAGACTAGGGTCGAGAGACCTAGACTTGCACAGGTTCTTCCCAAAGTATAGAACTCCATGTTAATCTTATTATTATACTTATTCACATATATTATATCTGTTGATTTGATTTAAACATATTTTATTCACAAATGTGAAAGGGATTGGGGACAAGTAATCCAACTTAAAATACCCGCTCTCTAATATTTACATACATACATTTTCAATTCTATACATATTAGGGAAAAATAGAGAGAAGAGATAGGAAAGTTAAGTAAAGGAAGGGATACAACTCATGTGATCACACAAAACGTTTTGATTGATAAATAAAGGTTTGCACACCTTTAAAAACGTATTCATTCATTCTTCTAATAGGAAGTGATGTACATTTTCACAAGTATTGCCACAGTAACAAGAAGCAGAATCTGCCATGTTGAAACGATACAGATCATAATTTAGCTGACTAGTCATATATCTCAACTTTGTGTGTATAATATTTAATTTTCTAACACCAAACGAGTAATATGATGGATCTACAGGTTGCTCGCACTTTAAGTACGACTTGAAACTTTGTAATGAAGGTCGATTTCTTTCGGTGGAAATATTATTCCACATTCTTACAGTTTATGGAAAAAGGAATCATATGAAAGTCTTAACCTAGAATAATATTGTTAGCATTCCTAAGGTTATATTATTTTTTTGTTTGTTCATAATATTTTTTGTTTGTTTATAAATATCTGTTCTCATGTTACATCTTTTTGCCAATATATCCTGGTACATCTCACCTGCTTATTCTTATATTTTGGTTCTAATGTAAATAATACCATCTCTCCAATTATATGTAAGTACAATTCCTTCACTTTACAGTTTGTCAGTATCATATGTGTGTTTGCTTTTGAGTTCTCGGATTTACTTTATTGCTCTACTATATTCTCAATAAGCAATTTACACGTGAGTTATAATTTCTTCTGTTAAAAATCAGTGTTCTATAGTGACAGTGGAAATATTATGTTTGGATGACCAATGGTTTCCACAATTTAAAAACAAGCGGCAGTTATACTGGACTGATACAACACAACACTATTGTTTTATGAGATTAATAATTCTAACATTCACCCCCCTAACTCCCCCTTCCCGGCTATCCCTTACCGCGACGCCTACGTGCGCAGTGCTTCTGATAGTAACCATACGCCCTGTCCCGTCAACACCTTAAAGCCTACTGATGACACCACATCTGTAATCTGAAACCTCATCTCCAAATGAACTCCAGATGCTGCTGCACGGCACTATATTCAGTGCGACACACAGAAATTAGGCGAGCTATAAACGTGTTAGCTAAGCAGTTTAGAAAGGTAACAAATACATACTTAACTAATGATTGCTGAAAGAACAAATTAGTACAATAATACACGATGTGTGTACATGTGTGTGTTCGCAAGTAAGTGGAGCTGGTACTGGCAGTAGTTCTCAGTTCAAATATACTTCCCAAAACCTTCTTGATCACCCTTGTTCTTCTAATTTACAGATTAAGAGTAGCTACTTTTCATCATTTTTCTATTCTGAAAAAGTAAAAAGAATCAATCCCTACTCCCTATCTACATCAGGGGGTTCTCTGTGCAAAGCGTCACTATAGAAATAGCTTGAAATATGGACGGCACATTTGGGAGCGGGGCATTTTTGGGATGAAAATACTTGAAAATACGGGTTGGAAATAACATTTTCGTCTTCCTTAACCATTCCGCCATCTACGCAAGTAATACAAGTCACTAACTACCCCCTCTTCAAGGCTACATAGGTACCCAACACCATGGGGGGTTCTCTATGCAAAGCGTCACTATAGAAATAGCTTGAAATATGGACGGCACATTTGGGAGCGGGGCATTTTTTGGATGGAAATACTTGAAAATACGGGTTGGAAATAACATTATTGTCTTCTTCAACCATTTGGCCATCTAATAAAGTAATACAAGTCACTGGCTACCCCCTCTTCAAGGCTACATA